TATATACAAAAATAATACCTTTTATAATAGGTTGTGGGTCCCTATTGTTGACATGGCACATAAAATTGAAAAACACATAATTAATACCATCATAAAATTGTGAAAAAAAAAATATACCATCATAAAAAATTAGTCAGACCATTTATGAATGATTAAAACAGGTTACCTTGTTGAACTTCAAGGAGACCACGATCATGACAAAACGAAACCCTTAAAACCAAATAGGCAAAACCCATGATGTAACTTTAGAAATCAAACAGTAATAAACCCACAATCTCACTCAATAAAAAAACCTTAGAAATTGAAAACCTTGTGTCTAGTCAATTTCTCTCTGGACGATTTGAAAGAGTAAGTATGATTTGGGACAAAAAAAATTATTAAGGTAAATGATGTTTCAGGGGCACTCATGGGGGATAATTTGTTACATTTTTTATGATTTAATACTGTGGTTAAATTTGTAATTGTGCATGTCTGACGAACGAAAAGTGGACCCGAATAGCTTTAGGGGGACGTTTGCTAACTTTTTGATAGACAGAGGATTGACATGCTCCAAAAAAATACTCCAGGGGAGTATTTTGCAACTTTTAATAGCTCAGGGGGCGATTTAAAACTTTTGCCAAATAATAATTGATTGAGGTGGATGGAGACAATGGGGAGAAATTTAATGTGGGGATGGTGTTTGCCCCCAACTTGGTCATTTTGGTTATGCTGCCACCCAACTTGGTCATTTTGGTTATGCTGCCTCCAGCAGGGGACTCACAATGTGATACCCTCAATTTTGGAACACAAGTTGATGAGGTCCGCACACGAGACCGATATCAAATAATTAATATTTTAAATTGAATATAAAATATAAAAAGATAAATAAATAAATAAATAATATTACTGAAAAGAAAACTAATAAATAAATAAATAATTTTCTCTAAATAAGTCCATTTAATCCTCAGAGATAAATAAAAATCTTCATAAAATAAATTCTCCAATAGAATAAAATTTGGAATCCTCAAATCCGGGCCCTTAATAAAATTGCGTAATTGAAAAATAAATAAATGTCTAATAAGTGAAATATTTAATCCGAAGATAGAATCCTACGTCGATGACACCAGAAGAATGATGATGTCAAGTCTCTTATATGCACGAACAATTGCTAATCTTGCTACTAACAAGGACCTGAAAAAAATATAACAATAGTGGGTCAAAACGCACAACAAGTCATTTCTACGACAACCCAAATTTCACACATGCCTTGTTTTTTCCACTAAGCATATACTTAATGCATTTGGTGCAAGTTTATCACTACTAGATAGGGATGCATACGGTCCGATTAGGTACGGTTCTTGACAGAACTGGAACCGGAACCATTCCTAACGGTTCTTAGAAATTGGAATTGGAATCGGAACCATTTGGACGTGGATCCAGACCCATTTATTTTTTTAGCAATACCTTGGGCTACATTTTTATCGATACCATTTAATGACTCTAAGCTTGTTCATAATGCATGTTGTTATATAATATAGTATATGAGAACATATATTTAATATTATTGTTATTATATATTTTGATGGAGAAATTTTACATGAATATTCTTTTAATATGAAAATCAGGGTATTTTAAAAAATTTACAACCAAACAAGTATCAATAGGCATATATATTAATAATTATATAATTAAAAAAATAATATATATAATTATTAGTCCATAACCTAAACTAAACCGAAAAATTAATGATTTCAAAATTTTAAAATCACAATCGGAAGAATCAAAAGTGAAGCACCGATTTAATTCGTCTCCGAGTGATTCTATCAATTCTTTGTGTACCCCTATTAGAAGAAGAGGCGCGTGATTTTGATGGTTTTGATGTTTGGTTTTGTTTCTCGTGTCAACGCTCTTTTACTGTACTTAGTCATCCACTTGCCCACTTTGTCCATAAATGAAGTTTGTGTTTTTTCTTGCTCGTACTTAGTCATCCAAGTGGCCTAGCTGTCCATAAAATAAACAAAGTTTGTTTCTTTCCTAGCTATTTTCATAGTAATCTAGAGCTGGTTGGTGGAGATAATCATTGTGATCCAATGAATAATTGAGTATCATTCATGTGTTGTCTTGGTTCATTCAACTTGACCCAAAGAGGTTGCGGGTCCAACCCACCCACCATCAAAGGACTATTGTGGTACAAAATGGTGCCCACTTTTACATCACAGGGTTGATTAGGGGTAAGATAGTACTTATAATTGGGATAAGTTAAAAAGAGAAGTCATTAATGCAATGTGGTCCTTTGTTATTTACCTCGTAAAAGCAAAAAGAGCCAAAAAGATAAATGAGGATAACACTTGGACAAAGTCTTATCTAATATGGTGCATGTATCATTGATATAAATACTAAATATATACTTAAAAAATAAAATTGACACAAATATCACGAAATATAAAAAATATGCTGTTACAAGTACAGTGTACCACTATACATAATACCTACTCTTCTTTTGAATTAAAAAGTGGAGAGTTTATCCAAAGAAAAAAATATATATACATATATATATATATATATATGTGTGTGTGTGTGTGGGGTTACACGTACAGTGTACCACTGTACCTAATACCTCCTCTTCTTTTGAATTAAAAAGTGGAGAGTTTATCCAAATAAAGGTAAGAATAATTAAAAGTTAGATTAACATGTGTAAAGAGTTGAAGTCTGATCCTTCTAAAATTTACCAGAGATACTAACCACGGACTATCGAGGCATGCTATCCAAATATCTATATATATATATATATATGTATATATAAATTAAGAGAGTTATTTGTTGTTCTAGAATAAAAAAATAAAAAATAAAAATAAACAGTTGCCTCTCAATAACACAGTAGGTTAGTGTCTCCCGTAAACTTTAGAGTGTCAGTTTTTTATTCTATTCATTTACTAATTTAACATTTACTCCCTTCCTTCCATACTAGATGTCCATGTTTATAAATTGGAGATTTTAAGAGGAGATGCAATTAATGCATTGTCCCCTTTTAAAATTACTAATTTATGTATATAAATTTTTTGAAAATATAAAGGATAATGATGGAAAGATAAGGCTTATTTGTTTTGACTTTTTAAAGTGGATAATTAATTTAGGACATCTAAAAATGAGACAGTGGATTACTAATATGGGGCAAATGTAGTAATATTTGTTGCCTTGAAAAATAAAAAAAATAAAAGCCAAATAATTTCATAGGGCAAATTGCTAAAAAATAAAAAACCCTCTTTGGCCGTCCTGCAGTTGCAAATAATACTATTAGCTTTCAAAAAAACTTCCAGAACTATAAAAAGATTTGTATCTTTTTCATCATTAATCTTTAGTGAGGTGATAAAATTACACAATTGACTTCAAGAAATGAAAAATAAAATATTAAGTTAAAAAATATTTTTTAATTATAAAGTTGTTCGAATTAAATTCTGGGTATAATGTTAAAATAACCTGACCGATTTCTCTCTCAGTGGCAAAAATGAATTATCCCATATATATTTTTCACATTTTTTTTTTTATGTCCATTTTTCAAGGAAATGAGTATATTTAAATGGGTATATTGCACACCCCACTTATCTTTATTGGGATATGAATCATTGATCTTTTAATTTAAAAAATTAAGCTCCTAGAAAATAAATAAATTAGATAGAAGGGAGAGAAGAAGGCAGACATCCTAGAAAAGAAATTATGTATTTCTTATGTTCACTGAGCGAGAAGAAAAGAGAATAAATTCATAATTTACTATGTTTGTTAACTGAGAAGGGAAGAAAAAATTTTAATTGTGTTTACCATTATATCCAATAATATTTATAATATTAAAATTTAGTTCATTTAATAATATTTATATAATAGTTCATTTAGGTTATGTATTTATAATATTGAAACTTATTTTTGGACGGGTAAAAATTTATAAGGAGGAAGAATAGATCATTTTTACTATTATTCTTTCTTTTCTTTTATGATCTCTACTGAACAAAAAAAGTTTAGTATGTAATATTTTTTTTTCTATTTTCTCCTTACATCTCTTTCTTCCTTTCAATGAAAACAAAATAAATTTGCAACATCTTCTACCATATTTGTTCATGTACTGATAAAGATTATTTAATAATCTTTTATTGTTTTTTTCTTTTTTTTCATTGAAAAAAAACTCATGCGCCCGTCTTCTACCATTTATTTGTTTAGTCCAATCAAAATTCCTCTTCCAAAAATAAATTCACTAGAGTTTAATAAAATAAAAATAAAAAAATAAAAAAATAGAATATGAATTTTGATTAGACTCAAATTACATTGTCTAATCACTCTAATAAGGTTTGATATGAGTTTTGAACAACTATCTAATAATTCCCCCATATCATAATAATGTAAGTAAGAAGTAACCACATTACAAAACAGAGTTAGATTTTTATTTATTTATTTATTTATTTATTTTTTTTTATCAAGATAAAAGATTTAAAATAAAGTAAAAATAGAAATATTCTTAAGAGGTCATCTTAAAAGTTTTTTTTTTTTTAATGTGCTTACATTAAATAATTAATTTGACTTTTTACATATTTTAAAACCCAATTTCCAAGTTACTCAAATAAAATAACACTGAAACTTATTTATGCTTACAAAATTTTCTTATTAATGGGCGGTGGCTTTTAATTCCCCGAGGGGTGCCCGTGTTTAGATTCTCCAACAAAAATTATTAAATGGTCGTGGTTTATTTGATACTTGTGAACTAATTTAATGAAAAGTTTCCGACTATTCAATTTTGTAATTTATTAATAAAACCTTATGAAGCCATTTTCAAAATTCTGAAATTTATATTTAATTGGTCCACTAAATATTAATGAACCAAGACCGTTTAATTGCGTATAGCTAATTTTACAATAAGTAATATCCCTTTTAGTCCTGAAAAAATAATGATAATATCCCTTTTAGTCCTGAAAAAATAATGAACCAAATATTGTAATCTAATCTTAAGGCGGTGATTATAACCATGAATCCAAAAATAGAATATTGGTATTCACAATCACAATATGGATAATGATTAGGTTATTACATATTTACGAGTCACCAAATCTTATCATACACTAGTATTTATAGCCCAACATTTGATTTTCCTTTTTTAATTATACAAAATTTACCTCTCAGTTGTACGGAGTACATGGATTCAGAGAACTCAGTGTTCCTGGGAGGCATGGAAGCTGATGTCTGCATCGTAAAAACCCTAATTTTCTCTCTGTAAAACCCACATTAGGTTTATGATTTTTGAGTTTTTGGTGTTTTTGTTTTGAATAGTTCGATTCGATAACAAAGATGGTGAAGCTTGTGGTTCTTGTTTATTTTTTTCTCTCTTTAATGGCTTGTACGGCGTCTGCTAATGTGGTGTTGATGGGCAGCAACGTGACTTTATCGTTCCGAGGCATCGAAGCTACCTTTGGTGAGTATTCAGTGTTTTTTTAACTATTCGTTCTCTACTAGGGTTTGATTTTTAACTCTTAAGATTAAGATTTGAAGATTTTAATCTCTCCTTTTTTTTTAGTTAGAAAATTTTAAGATCTTATTGAATGACTATAGGGTTTGGGGATTAGTGTTGAAAGAGCTTCTGTGAGTTCCTAATTTGCACCAAAAAAAGGCTATGCATGTTGTACTCGAACTTATCTGAGACTTTTAGAATCACTCAATGTTCTTTACTAAATTTTTGGTTCAGTTTTTGCTTGAATTTCCTGAATATATATATATATATTTATATATATATATATATATATATTGGTTCAGTTGGGATGAACAAACAGGTTAAGGATATGTTCAGTTGTAAGTAAGTAAGGATAGATTAAGACTTGTGATCAGGATATTCTATCCAATCCAAGTTTTATCAAATCACATTGGGTCAATTGAATTCAGATTATATCCATTTGATGAATAACATGAGATAAATTTAAAACTTTATGGGAACATTAACAGAATCTGTTTATGGCGGTTGTAACTTGTAATGTCAGTTATACTGTCATTTTGACTAATGATTGATTAGTGAGTTTCAAGGCGGTGATTGGATGTCATCTTGACCCATTTTTTTGACTTTTGTTCCATTGATAATTTCAGCTCCACCCGTAAAAGGGTCTGGGAAGGGTGGCAAGTTGTACTTAGCGGAGCCTCTTGATGCATGTTCACAATTGACTAATAAGGTTGGTTCATCTAAATGTAATGCCAGTTTGCCATTTGCATTGATTATTAGAGGAGGATGCCATTTTGAGGATAAAGTTAGAAGAGCACAAACTGCAGGGTTCAAAGCAGCCATTATCTATGACAATGTATATGGTGATTTGGTTTCAAGTAATGATCCTTTCCCATCTTCAACTTTATAGTTTTGTTTAATATTCTTAGATTTTCTTCTATAATAGATACATATAATATGGTTTTATATTTATAGATTGTCCAGCTTTTTAGGTATCCTAGTTTTGTAGGATTTAGAGTAAATTACTCTCCATGAGGTTTGGTCTAATTACCTTCAAATTAAACTTGCAAAAAAAAATTGGTCAACCTCCCTCAAGGTTTGTTTGAAATCACTCTGACCTCGCCCACTGCTAAATGAACATTATGTCCCGTCAAATATAATTTTTAAATCCCTAAAACACCCTTATGTTCAGCCTCCTTTCTTTTTTATTGTCTCTTTATTTTCTCTGTTCTCAATAATTCCCTGTACACAAAGACACAGTGATTATATATATATTTTTTTGATAAGTAAAATTTTATTAAAAACGCTCAAAAGGGGAGCGGAACCCAAAGAAACAAAAGGCCAAAGGGCGCCTTAGACCTTTAAAGAGGCCAAAAAAACAATAATCTCCTCCGTAGATCTATAATCTCTCCCTGAAACCCAACAAAAAAGAGTAGAAATAATAGAGAACTTAAGCATAGAAACATGCTTCTTTTTTCCATCAAAATATCTCCTATTTCTCTCGAGCCAAATACACCACCAAATACAAAGAGGCGTAGCCTCCAAGCATCCTGAATGATAGCCCCAACAGAGACGCCTCTCCAAGCCTCAATCAACCCTCTAGAGAAACAAGGCATAGCCCAATGGACCCCAAATAATCCAAGCATCAAATCCCAACAATCTCTGGCCATGCTGCAATGTAAAAAGAGGTGATCAACTGTCTCCTCATCACACAAGCACATATAACAATGATTGACCACCACTTGATTCCTCCTCCTCAAATTATCCTTGGTTAAAATATTACCCAGGACGGAGGTCCAAGCAAAAAAGGCGACCTTGCGAGGAGCCTTGGAACGCCAAATAGACTTCCAGGGGAAAGGGTCTCCGGGAACAAACGAAAGACATCTAAAAAAGGACCTAACCTCGAAACGGCCTTGCGAGTTAGGAACCCAAAACCAACAATCCAACTCCCCAAAAGTGATCACTTGGCTATACAGAAGCTCCAAAAAACGAGAAACATCCTCGATCACCCAATCCTGAAAATGCCTCCTGAACTGAACATCCCAAGTCAGTCTCCCGTTATCAAGGTGATAACAGTCAACTACCACGGCCTGTCGGTGAGAAGCAATCCTATAGAGTCGTGGGAAAGCAAGAGCAAGAGGAAGCTCCCCATGCCAAAGATCCTTCCAAAAACTAATCCTCCTACCATTCTTGATTCGAAAACGAACATGCTTGCAGAAATCAACCCAACCCCTCCGAATGAAATTCCAAACCCCCACCCCCCTTGGACCACGCATCACAAGAGAGAACCACCCACCACTGCTTTCCCCAAACTTGCTCGCAATAACTCTCCTCCAAAGCCAATGTCTCTCACTCCCAAACCTCTAAAGCCATTTACCAAGGAGAGCCTTATTGAAAGGCAACAACCCCATTAACCCTAAGCCTCCACACCGAATTGGTCGACACACATGATCCCACCGAACTAGGTGAAACTTGAACCCCCCCGCCCCCCCCAAAAAAAAAGAAAGTTGCACTGCAATCTCTCAATTCTCTCAGCCACTGAAGAAGGAATCTGAAACAGAGAGATGAAATAAGTAGGAAGGCTAGAAAGGGTGCTCTTAATCAGAGTAACCCGACCCCCCTTGGAAAGGTACTGCTTTTTCCAACCCGCCAACCTCCTCTCGAATCTATCCACAACCAGATCCCAGCTCCCCACACATCTCGAAAGGGCTCCCAAAGGCAATCTTAAGTAAGAAATGGGAAAAGAGCCAGTGCAACATCCAATGATCTAAGCAAACATCTCAATCTCAGGAACATCCCCAGGCACAAGAAGACTCTTGCCAACATTAATCTTAAGACCAGAAACAACTTGAAACCAAATCAAAACGCATCTCAAATATCTCAACTGGGACGCGTCCGCATCACAAAACACAAGAGTGTCATCCGCAAACATCAAATGGGAAATCTCCAGTTGACTAGCAACATCCCTGCCCACCCAAAAACCTCTAAAAAAACCCAACTCCACAGCCCTCTTTAGCAATCTGCTAAGAGCCTCCATCACAAAAAGGAACAAGAAAGGAGAAAGCGGATTCCCTTGTCTCAAGCCCCTCGAGCTAGAGAAAAGACCTGTCGGAGCTCCATTCACAAGGACAGAGAATCGAGCGCTAAAAATGTAAAAAAGAATCCATCTCCTCCAACGCCCACCAAACCCCATCCTCTCCAATAAGTAGAGAAGGAAGCTCCAGCTCACATGGTCATACGCCTTTTCAATGTCCAGCTTGCAAAAAACACACGGAACACCGCTATTCAAACCGGAATTTACACATTCACTAGCAATAAGAATTGAATCTAAAATTTGACGACCTCCCACAAAGGCATTCTGAGAGTCAGAAATGACGCCATCCATAACCTTCCTCAACCTAGAGGCCAAGACTTTCGCAATCAACTTGTAAAAACATCCCACCAAACTAATAGGGCGGAAATCTCTAACATCCATTGCCTCTCCCTTATTCGGAATAAGAGCAATAAAAGTGGCATTCAAACTTTTCTCAAAAGAGCCCTGCACATGGAAGGCGTGAAAAGAGCCCATCACCTCCTCACGGACCACCTCCCAACACTCCAAAAGGAATCTCATAGAAAAACCATCAGGACTAGGGGCTTTATCCCCATTACAGCTCTTCAAAGCAGAGAAAAATTCCTCTTCTGAAAATGGCACTTCCAAAACAGAGCACTTCTCACCCGAAATAGAGTCAAAGTGAAGCCCATCAAGCAAAGGTCGCCAACCAGCTGATTCAGTGAACAACTTCGAAAAGTAACCAGAAAAACCCTTACAAATCTCCTCCTCTTTACTGAATATGTGTATGTATATACACACACATATATATAATGGGATGATTTTTCGTTGCTCAGTTGTGCATATACATACATGTTTATGTAAATATATAGTATATCTAGTATTGACAGTTGATAGAATTGAATAGAAACCGATCTCCCCATTAATATTCAGATATGAGTATAATCATCTTAATTTCCTTTTTGATCATCCATTGTTTTTTGGTTTTGTGAAGGTGTTTGTAGATGAAATTAATTTTTTAGGGTTTGAATTCAAAATCCATGGCAGGGGGTAGAAGATAGCAGATGCGTCTGCTTTAATTCCCACGAGAAGCTTTGAAAGAGTTAAATGTCAACCTCGAATTGGGTTAAAAAGGGTCTATTGAAGGTTGCGAACAAGACAAGCTCCGATCTTAGTTCGATCAATTTCAAATATGTTTTTTCTCAAGGAGATACAGGACATTGATTATTCTTGAATTTTATATCCTAAGCAAAATGGTGGATATAATAAGTTTTGAATGATGGTGGGATTTAGTTCACTGCAAAATTCATCAGTAGAACAATGGTGGTCAGTGAGGAGGTGGGGGCTTAGAGGGAGATTGTGTGTGTTTGTGAGAGAGGGAGGGGGGGCTTGTGGAGATGGAGAGAGATAGAATGTGGAGGGGTGATGGTGGTGGAGGGAGGATGAATTTAGAGAGAGAAAAAAGAAGGCATTGAAAAAGAATTTAAGATATTGAGAGAGTGTAAAATACTTTGTAATGTTAATTAACTCACTTTGATAAGGTGTGTCAGAGTAATTTTTACATTTTTATTTTATTTTTTATCTAAGGGTAATTAAGGCAAACCACAAGGGAGGTCGGAGTAATTTACACTAAAATTTAATGTGTCATCATATGATTCATATCTGTGTCGTGTCGAGTGGGTATATTGCGTCCTTGTCTGTGCTAATTAGCTCAGACCTAAGGGTCCTTGCTTAGTGTGATGGTTAAATTTTAGACTCCGTAAGCATGATAACACAATTTTGAGCCAGTGGGGCATCATTTCGTGCAAATAAAGTCAATGATTATGTGTGCACGCAGGTCACCCCACCCAACATCTCGAATTGATAGGTTCAATCCTCATTAATAGCCTTTAGTTAATTGATATCTTCACATCGATTGCAATAATGCTTTGACCGACAACATTTAATAGAGGAATATATATACATAAGGAGTATGGAAAAGAAAAACTATATTTACTTTAAGCACAAAATGATGTTTTTACCAGTGATTTTACCATTTGAACTAAATTAAGTTGTCGTCATTTAAACTTGCAGCGATTCTCTTTATGCTCAACTGAAACTTTTGGACCAGTGACTTCACTATAAGCACTGAATAAACTTGTCTTCTTGAATATCCACATTGTAAATCTCCAATTTAAGAAAGAAGGGATAGATTCCTTAGGTTTTAAGGCTGAACTAATTTAATCAATTAAAAGGTGGAATTAGATTGGCATATGTGGAACAATTCAATTTCAACCTTGAGATCAGAGTTTGTGATAGAAAGGGGTGTCAAAAGTGCACCGAGTACTCCAGATAGTGTTTTAAGAGTGGGGTTAAAGTTCCACAATCATTCATGTATGGGGAATAACTTTTTCCATTGAACTGTAACATTGTTTTACATTAAGGCAATAGATGCTAGGAGACTATCAATTTTGTAACCCTAAAAAATTACTCAACTGTTTACAGATGTCAGATAATCCTATTGACTCACAAAAACTTTCTAAAAATTACTTCATTCAATTATCTACATAAGATTTGAATGCAACCTGAATCGGAAGTTCGGGATTTAGATAATTCTATCGACTCACAAAAACTTTCTAAGAGTTACTTCATTCAATTATTTACATAAGATTTGAATGCAACCTGAATCAGAAGTTTGGGATTGCAATGCAGGAAGAAACTTCTAAATACTATTGTACTTGGTCCTTGAGTCATTTAGGCTTGAAATTGGATTGTAATCACCAATTTACTTGGACTCCATGCTATTCTTGTTTTGTTGAAATGGAATGAGATGGTATCCAAATGCATAGTTGAATGGCACCAGTCAGTGAGAACGCTGAGAAGTAGAGATAACCATGGCCACTCATTTATTTGGTTTCAACAGTACGGAAATATTGGAATGAGATGGAGAGTCCAATTACAGTGTTTGGCTTAAGGAAAAAAATACAATGCGGTATCCAATTTCATCCTGAAAAAAATAGGATTTGAATATGGCAGCGACAACCACAACTTGTTAACATTTCACACTTTTCTGATTCGTTAAAGAGTTAGGGATTTTACCCAATTACATAAAGGGGTTGATTTTTCTACAAGGAGGGACTTAAAGGGAAAAAACCTGCTCTTAAACAAATTTTGCTTAAGATTAAAAAAAAAAGAGTATAAAATAATAGGGTGGTGACTATGGCAGCTTGTTAACATGTCAAAACTTGCCCGATTCTATTAAGTTTAGGGCATTTGATCCAATTACATAATTGGATTGCATTCTTCAACGGAGATGTAAAGGGCAAAAACCTAGCTCTATCACTCAGAAGATTGAAGATCTCGGGCCTTCTGATTCTGCAATCATGGCAAGTCGGGTATCTGGATCTGCTTCTGCTTCTTCCATTCCCAGTGATTGGATTCATCGATTCCGGGGCTACCAGTCACATGTCAGGTGATATCTTTCTTCAGATTTATAAAAAAAAGGAGGAGGTCCAAAACAGCTTTTTAACTACCCTCTCATCATTAGTTCATCTCAAAACGGCTTTGGCTAATATTCTCATCATTAGTTCATCTCAATGTTTAACTAGACTTCATCCTTAACTTTTTAGCCAAAGTCCATTACCTTCTCTTGAGATGGTCACACTTCCTTGAGCTGAAACTAACTGGTCTACACTTAGTAGTTGGTGATCAAGGAGTCCATCCCCACCAATATGGTAGAACAGCCCATCTAACTAGCTCCCTTAAGCCTTCCAAATGAGAAAAGATCCCTACCTCTACGGTGGAGGCTCAGAGCCCACTCTTGCAAGTCAAGAGAAAACAAAGAAACACTATTCTTTAAATCCCTCCCTGCGCAATACTGAGTTAACCTAGGTTTTCAATTTAGCAACCATTATAAATTAAATTTCTCTCATAGGGTGGGTTGACTAAAGGAGAGAAACTGTCACAACTGGTCTGAAAGAACAAATTTGATACCAATCCTCCTGGTGAGACTCCCCAAAGAAATTTGGCGGCTAATTGCTCCATAGGCTAAAAATGCTATCCTATCTCATCTTATACTAATAATGGAACACTTCTCTTTAAAAGCCATGTAACTCAAATAGTGGCAAAAAGTGCACAATATCACAGAATTCTGCCCCTATTTCCTCTCCCCTAAAAGGGATCACCATCAGAGATCAATTGTTTGAAGGAGTGATATACTAATGCTTGCTTGTAGAAACAGCCTTTGTCAAGGTGCAAGAGAATACTGGCAATGAAAAAATTGGTGGTAAAATGTCTCGCAACTCCTCGTACACCACAAATTCTCATTTTTCAATTCTCTTTAGTTTTTGTATTTTTAAGAGCTAATATCAGAACCAAAATCTTAACTTGTGATAACTTTGCCTTTCAATTATTTTAGCTGGCCCGAAATGTGGACATTATTAAACTTCAATAAGATATTAAAGAAAGAATTTTGATTGAAAATCATTACTTGCAAGACACCAAGTTTTCCTCTGAAAAGAATGTAGACAAATAAACATCCTTTAGTAACACGATAATAGATGCAAGTTCAAACATTTCTTTGGGCAAGTTCACACATTTCTTGATCATGATGTTCGGAAATAATTTCTAAGGAACACCACCATTTTAAACTGTTGCTGAAGAAGAAACAAGATCCCATTTGAATTTTCCAACCATAGGTCTTCCCAAATAATGATTTGAAATACCAAACCCACGTCTTATTGTTATAAACTTTGGGGTGTGCTATGGGACATTTTGTCCATGTTGTGGTGATTATGTATCTTCATAATTATATAAGCATAATGATGATTTAAAAGTATATTTCGCCTTTTTTGGGGGGTTACATATTATGTAAGTTATATGTAATGTATTCAGTTTACACTATTACTATGTATGGCAATAAATGTAGAGCATGTTAACAACCCCCCACCACGCCCCGCGCTTCCGAAAGGTGGGTTGTAAAAAATTTTCCATCTCAGGGTTCTTTTTAAACAAAAACTTTGAAACCCTTTTGCGAGGATTTGAAGAACTCATAATTGGGATGATGTAAACTATCATTTGTTTTCATGACAAATTGAAGATGAACTTTTTTTTCCCAGATTTTTAATTTAGTTGTTCTTTCTGTCTTTGAGTGGTGTTGTTTTACTTCGGTGATGATTTTTGGTTTAGTTGAATCTATGAGACTATCTAATCCAGACATATGAAAAATGCAGTGGCAGGAAGTTCATCTGGTGTAAAAATACCTGCTGTGCTTGTTTCCAAAGCTTCAGGAGAAGTACTCACAAAGTACGCAGGTGTTACCAACATGCAACTGTGGATAATCCCGAGCTTTGAGGACTCAGCATGGTCAATCATGGCCATATCTTTCATTTCATTACTTGCCATGTCTGCAGTGCTGGCTACTTGTTTCTTTGTCCGGAGGCATCGCATAAGACGTGAACGGCCTCAACCTTCAAATGTTAGGGAATTCCATGGGATGAGCAGTCGTCTAGTAAAAGCAATGCCAAGCCTAATATTCACAGCTGTTTTAGAGGATAATTGTACTTCAACAACATGTGCTATATGTCTTGAAGACTATAGCGTTGGTGAGAAGCTCAGAATTTTGCCTTGTCGTCACAGTAAGTTTTCTCTTATAATCCTAAAGAAATCTAGTATGCTAATATTTTGTAAGAACTTATTTCGCAGGCTAATATTTTCTGGGGTGGAATTTTAGAAGATATGTTTTTTAGTAGTTAGGAAACAATTTTGCTTGTGGGTGCTCGTGTTAATCACATGAGTGTCCTTGCATGCTTACTCTTTTGATGGAGCTTTTGCAACTTTAGGTCCAAATTGAAATGAATGTTCTCATTTTTTTAAAATTTGACGCTTGTGCTGCAAAGTTGATGCGCTTGAGAGAATTTGTAGTACAATATAAGAGGACTTTTAGTAATATATAAATATATTAAATTTAATTTCTTCCTTCAAATGCTGTTTTGTACTCCCTAAACAAAGTTCCCATTACAAAATGTGGAAAGCCACTGTAAGAAAACTGATTATTGTAAATTCATAATTTTAACTTCTATTTACTTCTTTTGTACTATGTTATAGGGTAAGGTTTTAGGCTTTTAGCATTTTGATATCCAATAACATTATTTTGGACATCAGTGCATGATCAACTTATTATATTTGGTGTAAGAATAGTTGGTCTTACACCCTTAATTAACTTTCTGTAGACTTCTTCTGTACTGTGTTATAGGTGTTAACTAAGTCACGCAAGCCGTTTGTCCCATTTTGAGAATCAACTCCACTTTCCATTTGGAAGGATTTGGAAGGAGGGGAGAAACCACTTGGGTTAAGTCGTCTTTTATAATTTAAAGTATGATGTTGATGACACAGTTCTAAATTTTTGATTAGTTTTGTTTCTGACAAGCATGATAAACATTGGAAGGAAATTCAAACCAATGGTTTGATTGACAAGCATCATAGACATTGGAAGGAAATTCAAATCAATTGTTTGATTGCCAAGTTTTAGGCTTTTAGCATTTTGATATCCAATAACATTATTTTGGACATCAGTGCATGATCAACTTATTATATTTGGTGTAAGAATAGTTGGTCTTACACCCTTAATTAACTTTCTGTAGACTTCTTCTGTACTGTGTTATAGGTGTTAACTAAGTCACGCAAGCCGTTTGTCCCATTTTGAGAATCAACTCCACTTTCCATTTGGAAGGATTTGGAAGGAGGGGAGAAACCACTTGGGTTAAGTCGTCTTTTATAATTTAAAGTATGATGTTGATGACACAGTTCTAAATTTTTGATTAGTTTTGTTTCTGACAAGCATGATAAACATTGGAAGGAAATTCAAACCAATGGTTTGATTGACAAGCATCATAGACATTGGAAGGAAATTCAAATCAATTGTTTGATTGCCAAAAGACATATTCTTTGACATGTTATGCATAGATGAGATTAACTTATTCTTACACCAGTATAAACAGATACGGTGAGATACCTATACATGGATCTTTGTCGCAATTTTTTATTTTAGCTAGTCCCCTTGTTAGGCCACCATCATTAAATGAAATTTCTCCTGATATGTGGTGGTTAAAAATAAATTTGATAATTATGTGGTAGTTAGAATGAAATAAAATCAAACAAAATAATATATATTTTGTATATAAACACGCTAAAATATCATTTAACTAAATTCTATACTTACCTCCTCATTGCCTCTAATCAAAGGAGTGAAAAAATATTCTACTCAAATATAAATATTTTATGTAAGCCCACTATTTTTTATTTTGATGAATTAATGTAAACCCAATATAAAACCTGTTAAAAATTTAAGTACTTAATAACTCCAAAACATTATTATAGCTTTCAGCTCTTCACCACCGAATCCCTTTCTCCTTTTCAATTCTCAGAGAATATAGTTTTAAGATGAATATTGTTGTTCAAACCCATCCAAGAGATTTGGCTATGATTTGAAGAAAATTGTCTCTCTCCTTTAGTGGAAAACCTTAAAACTTGCAACCGAATGCCTTAGATTTTAGATTGGGTAAATTACACTAACCTCCCCTAAGGTTTCTTCAATATACACCTTGTTCCCCTCTTGTTTGCCAAATTACACTTACCGTCCTTGAGGTTTATATCTTTGTAATACCGTGTTCCCCTCTGTTAACGGCTGTTAATGGTTAGCCCAGTCAACGTGTACAGATGATGTAAGAATTTTTTTGGGTTAAAATTTCCATTAGTGCCCTTTTGTTACAGTTGTTGACAGATGTAACCCCCTAAGGTTTCTTCAATATACACCTTGTTCCCCTCTTGTTTGCCAAATTACACTTACCTTCCTTGAGGTTTATATATTTGTAATACTGTGTTCCCCTCTGTTAACGGCTGTTAATGGTTAGCCCAGTCAACGTGTACAGATGATGTAAGCATTTTTTGGGGTTAAAATTTCCCCAAGTGCCCTTTTATTACAGTTGTTGACAGATGTAACCCCCACTTGCCCAAATGAAATTATGCAATATCCTCCAATGGTAATAAAGTATTACCATTGTCATTGTCTTCTTAAAAACCTTAAACCCATGTTCAGGTCTCTGTGATTGGGTCTGCAAGTCGTCTTCATCCATGCAAATTTAAGTTTTATGTAGAAATCCACTAATAAGATAAGATCCATTGAAGAGTGGACTCGATATAGAGTTCATTTACTAAAGAAGGGCAACAACATTGACAAATTTATTGGCATGGGGATTATTTAAAGCTTTTCAAACTGATCCTATACAATTAATTGTGGGGTTTTATTTTCTCTATTGGGCTTATTCTGCAAGATTTTGTTTTGCATCTTGAAATTCATGTAAAGCGCAATGGAGGCATCAATTTCTATGTGATGCTTCCCTTTAATCACGTATAGTCATTGCTTAAGTTTTACCTTGCTGAACTCTTCAAGTATATGATCGGCAAAAGTGTAGGGGGTTATTTACTTCTGGTGAAGGCAAAACATCATTAGAAATGGTAGATACCTTCAGATATGATAACATACTTTTTTCCGATAGAAATGAACTCAACAATTATAATAATTTACAATGTACACACTGCAGAATTCATCTAAAAGATTGTTTGCGTTTGAGGGTGTGCTCACTAACTAGTCTGATTTAGTTTATCTCAAAAGATTGTTGGTTCTGTCTTGTCAAATTTGTATCCTAATTAATGGTTTATTAAATTAATTAAGAGAGTGGGCCTTGGTGTTACTGTGAGGTTTGCTCCATTGTGATCTGGAGGTCACGGGTTTGAAACAGGAAACAGCCTCTTTGTGTGCAAAGGTAAGGCTACGTACATTTGACCATTCCATAACTCACAATGGTGGTAGCCTCGTGTACGGGCTAGCTCATTAAATTAATTAATAAAGCTAGGATGGAGACATTTTAACGTGTTGGGCATCTCATCACTCGACAAGATTTGGGAAAATTCTGATTCTTTTGTGTGCTGTTTTTAGGGTGATACAAGTTCTCTTCTATCAGTAGAAAAGAAATTAGATTCTTTCCACAATTATTACAGGAGGCTGTTTTTTGGTTTTTAAATCCTGTTTTTAATGGAATCTAAAATTAAACTTTTTGGCACTTGAGATTTTAATATGTATTGGTCCTCATGTTTAGGCATTTATTGTATTGCATTACTAAATTTGAACTTTATTTAAAGAACCTTTTTAATCTTGTCAATATTGGTCATATCATTTTGGTTCTATCATGTCAATTTTGAGTAACCTCTGTTCTCGGACTTTGACAGAATTTCATGCTTTTTGTGTCGATGCTTGGCTTACTACATGGAGAACCTTTTGCCCAGTTTGCAAGCGTGATGTCAGAACCAGCATTGTTGATCCACCAGCATCAGAATGCACACCATTGCTTTCATCCAGCCCTGCAGCCTCCGTTGCTTCATCTGCTGTGTCGTCATCAGTCAGATCATCATTAGCATCATCATCGGCAGTACAAATAGCCCCATCTTCGTTTTGGTCTCCAGTTTCTCATGCTCATTCCTTTGCTAGCCCTCCTTATGTGCAGCAGTCTCCTCAGACATACCGCCAATCCCCTTACCTAAGTGTAAGCCGAAGCTCAGTGGACCTTAGGAATGCATCCTTTCAAAGATCTCATGCTTCCCATTTGGTTTCTCCCTGCTCATTGGGTTACCCTTCTCTCTCACCTGCTAATTCGAGATACTTGTCTTCACATATTCCTAGTCCTAGCAATGCTTCGCTGAGTTACATTGGCTCTTCTAGTCAGCAGCCACATCCACTGCATTGTAGTGAGTCAGCTGCGAGCTTTTCTCCGTTTGCTTCTGCACAATCACTTCCAGGATGTTGATTCAAATTCTAGTATATTATGGAAAGCTGATTATATTCAAAGTCGACTAAATGGTGATTTGTGTTCCTTTGACTTCTGCTTCAGAAGTTGGGACATCATGTGCATTGGGTTCGACCTGACATGATGCGTTTGCCAGTGACACAAATATCTGGAACTGATGGGTTGCGTCTGTTTTGTACATTGTAGCTTAAGGTTTGGGTTATCTTAATTAGTTTGATAATTGTGTTTTTTCATATGAGGCGTCTCAAGTTTCTCTCACTATGACGAGTGTTTCATGTCTTCTTGATTTTTGTTGAACATTGAGATTTCACTAGTCTTCATCGGTGAATAGTTAAACCATTATAAGAAACAAAATTTAGTGCTTTGTAGAAATTTACCGCTTGAAGTTATGTTTGCATGTGATTTTGCCAATGAAATGGTTTTTGCTCTCTTACTTCTTCTCTCTCTACATATATGTATGTATGCATATGTGTTCTGGGTTGAAGGTATTGAAAAAAAAGGGAAAAGAGATTGGTTGAAGACTGGTTGGGATATCTGTTTTCACTGTTCTGACTTGCAATTGTCTATTGTACGATCTTTACTGGTTATGTTGTGGAATGGTTGATGCATATGATCTTTAGCCGAAAGGAGCAGTGAAGTCCCTAAAGTTCCCACAGCCTGAAGATAGATATTGGAAAAGGGGAAAAGATATCAGAGGTAAACTAGTTCTTTTGATCTGATCTGTTGCTCTATGATCCCGGTACACTGAATTGAATATTTAGCAGCATATTCCCAATGCTGGTTAACATATCAAATTTTTGTTATCGCTGTTTGTCCATTTGTTATGCATGAATGTTTGTTTGGATGTTTAAAATAAACCTCGTTTGTGTTGTTCACATGTGGTGTGTTTGGAGCAGGGTCTAGCAATGCAGAAAAACAAGATGTACTATGGAATGACTGCATGTAGACTACTACTACTAGTTAATGTTCAAGTTCACCTGGGCATGTTCCTGCTTAAAGACTGCACTGCAGTGTTTCAAGTGATTACATGGTGATGAAGTGATGATTTATGTGTTTTATGGGTAATATTTGCACTAATGCTGTGTTTTTTTTTTTTTTTTTAAACTTTAATTATAATGCTGTGTTTTGTAGCATGGAATTTATTTTTTCTGGAATTGATTCTAGAGATAAACTAGTTTAAAGTTTGAACTATATGGTTTTCAGTCAACTCAGTTTCTTGTTATTTCAAGAAATATACTGAGATATCTTTTAAAATTTTCACTTTTTCAGTCATGCCATTTTGAAGAGCTCATCCCAAAATCTTGTCCTTGATAGCTGCATCTTGATTTGAGGGGATGCCACTTTCTTGGTACCAAAGTCACACAATTCTTCTAAATGAGTTTTGTTCTCTGCCCGTGCGCTCTTGCCCTTACTTTCACTTTGTGCGATTTAGATTTTTTCACTTTCTCGCTCATGCACTCGTCTGGTACTCTATTTAGAATTGCTGCTTGGTCTCTTCCTTTCTAATTACCAAACTTGTAGTTCTAATGTTATTGAAAATAAAATTCAAATCCTTTCCAATATTAAACAATAACAAGCAAGAGCGGATTCAGAAATGCATAATGGGGTTGGGGTGGGCTAGTACTATAATAATAATAATAATATAATTATTATTAATTATATTATTATTATTATTATAGTACTAGCCCACCATATATATATATATATATATATATATATATATATATATATATATATATATATTTTGGGTAGGCTCAAGGCTGGATCTGCCCTTGCCCATGAACCATATTCAAATGCTGATTATGCCTATACGAAATCATAAAATCAATTATATAATATATTAATATAGAGGTCATATGTATACATATGACCTATATAACATGACATACGTAATTTAAATACCAAGCATGTAATATATACATATATTATATATATATATATACACATATATTATCACATATATTCAATATATATCTGTGTATATAACCATGGGCCTTAATTATTTCACCCACCAAGACTCCCTTCAAGCCCATTTGGTCCAAATACCTTAACTCAATCCAATGAAAATTAAATAAATAAAACATTAATTACACATAATTTTTTTTTCCTAGTTGGTATTCACACACACATGCCTCCACTGAGACTCAAACCTCCGACCTCTCTTTGAGAAGTAAGGGTTTGGTACCGCTAGGCCACTGACCTGTTAGTTAATTACACATAATTCAAGCACACAACCAAATAATTTCCTACAAATTAAATAAAACCAACACGCCAAGTCATCAAATAACAATTGCACAACAATTAAATAAAATATACCAATTAATCAATAACCAAATAAACAACTAAGGACATCAAATAAATCAAATTAAAAGCATTGATTTAATTAAATAAATCCTTCAAAATATAAGAGTATTACAGCTTTCTTTGAATTTTTCTTATTCGCGTGCTTTTGCCTCCCCAACAAATTGGTACCAGAGCTTTGGTTGCCTCCTCTTGGTAAAGACGACATCAGTTTGGTATCAGAACTTTGGTTTTGGCTTCCCGGATGCTTAATCATGCCTCCACAACAACTACCGAGAGGAGGAAATTGTAGAGTGCAAGTTCTAGCTGAACCCTTACCCAAGCAACACGAAGATGATATAAATTTTTGTGGAGGCAAGCTGAGTTATTGACTCAACTATTAGGTCAACATGTTGTCAACCTGCTGGTTAATGACAATGTTTCCGTGAATGATGATGTGTCAGACACCGAGACTATTACGAAAAATTCGTATTTTTCATGTCGCTATAGATCACTCGATGAGCGGACTAATCATTGTTGGCCGACAAATATCAATTTCCAAATTTTCGGTTTTTATGAAGAGGATTTTTCCAATCCTTTTTGCAGCAATACAACACCTAAATCAACACCTATTCTACTTTATGAAAGTTGTTGGGAAGGTAAGTTTATGGAGGAAATTCCTAAATTGGTAGGAAATCTTGGTGGAGAAGAAAAATAACTTTTGATCGAGGAAGATGATGCAACCCCAATGGTCAAGCCAAAATATGATGATTACCCAGAGGAAAAGGATTCACTAAGGAATTAGTAACTAACAGAGAAATCTTAGGGAGTAAATTAGTAATTTAGTTGCTGAAATTCAGCAAGTGGTTTGAGAACAGAGAGCATCTACCAAAGAAAGCTGAGTAAAAGATGGAAGGTTGTGATCTTTTTCATCTGCAGGTTTAGAATGTGGTTAGAAGCGTGCAACATGTATTCAATCACCAAATTCACTTCTCCAAAACTGTAGATCATGGGAGAACATGTTTTCAGATACATAAGCACTGTGAGAAAGATAAGGAAGACATAAAATACTTGGCACAATTCGTACGTTCCACTTGGAAGCATCTCAGCTGTTATTGGAACTGCCTACAATAACCGCAATTTAAGAACTCTATAAATATGACATGTTTATGTAACTTGCAAACCCCCTTCAACACACAACGCAAACAACAATTCAATAATCATTCAATTCCAGCAATTGTCTTTTAAATTTCTTTCGAGTTCTTTATTTCAATTTCTCTACTCTCAGCAATTGTTCTTCAATTACTTTACTTTTCAGTCTTTAAGGTTTAATTCATTTCCTTTCAATCATAAAAATATTCTAAAGTCCTTTACCTCAAATGAAAAAAGAGCCTCGAAGGTGGTCGTTCCAAGCCTTCTTTCAATCCTTCAATCTTCCACTTGAAATATTGTTTGGAGTTTTCATTTGGAATTTTCAAAGTTCCACACCCCAATTCCATGGGAACTGAGATTTTAATAGCCAAACAATATGCATTTAGAAAGAAAATACTAGGTAATGAATATGTAATTAAGGGAATTGATGCCCCCAGGGGCTTGGTAGAGTTGGTAAGACAACGGCATGAGGTATCATTTGTCCCAGGTTCGAGTCCATCTATTCTCATTATTTTTCCTGACTGATATTGGTGCTGAGGTGTAGGGTCTTATAGCCTAGGGCGGGTCCCAAAGGGGCCATACCTAGGAGAGTTCCAGGTGCCAATAATAATAATAAAAAATACAGGGAATTGATTGTCGTGATTTAACTGATTGCATAAGAATTTCACATGAAGATCTGACACAAGGTGGTTTCGAGAAAGACTTTATTGTACCTGTTATATTACTTCATCTGTGCCATCAACCAATTATATCTTCTCTTGTCATAAAATAAAAATATTTTGCTTTAGTGAATCCCTACTACGTGTCATATTAAAGCATAAACAATATCGTCTTTCCCTGTGTTTTTTCACCTTACTACATGCCAGTGCTACCTTTTGACGCGGTTGTCTTCTGGGACCTTTGTTTTTTTTGTGGAGCTAATATTTCTAACTAATTGGTTAGCTTTCATCAATACGACTTAGCATAATCACCTCTTCTTCTTCTTCAAGTGTTCCTTTGTCTCGCCCATTTGGAACTTTATAAAAGCAGGTTGTGCGTTTTATACAATATTTTAATGGCCAATTATGAAAAGACAAGAGAAATCCAAGAAATATTGTCGGAAAGGTTTGTCTTGCAGCTCTGATATACAAAATGTCAATGGAAAGAAATGGAAGGTATTTCAAGGGATTTCCTCTCTCCAATTGTAGTGCTCTCACAGCTCATCGCTAGTTAGTTTGTGCAAGGCTTGATTGATGTCAGACTGTTTGGGGTTACTTTATTTTGGGCTAAGCTTAGGCTTTATGCAATAGGCTAAGGCCCACTTTTATTACCATGAATCGTTCATTCATTTGGGGTCTGTACGTATTTACTCATTTATATACTTGAACTTACCTTTCAAAAAAATAAATAAATACAACTGTCATAAAAATATTCTTATTGGTACTGTTTATAAAAAATTAGTTATTTAGTTCAACATAAAATTAGTATTAAGTAGTTTATAGAGTGAGAAAATCAAATGAAAAAGAAATTGATACAACCAAATAATTTGAGATTCTTTTAAATATTTAATAATATATATATATATATATATATATATATATATATATATATATATATATATATATATACTTTTTTTTTTTCTTTTTCTAGTTCACATTCACACACTCTCTCTGAGAGCGAGAAGTGACCAAAACTCTAAGAAAACAGAAGGAGTGTCATATAATATAATAAGTTTGCCTTGATCCTAGGTATATATGGTAATAACTTGGAAGCAATATGGATTTCAGATGTTGACATTGAATATGATTGCAGACATTTTTGTATAAGAATATGATTTTTTAAATAGATACAAGTTAGAGCGTTAGACATAACAGAACTTGTTAAAGAACGTCTTCTAATTTAAGCAGTAGGGTTATTTATTTTTATTTATTTTTGTTCTTTTTGGGAGTTTGGCTTTCAACCTTTGACTCCTCCCTTCACTAATTCATGGAAAAAAAAATAAAACTAATAAAATAAAAATAA